ATATAGGCATTTCCTCATACAAGGCATCAATGTCCCTCATAATGTCCCTTCTCATTACTACACTCATTAAGTCTCCCATAATGACTCTAATAATGTCACCATTATGTGACTCATAAGCACACCATTAATCTCTCATTTATGTGGAGAATCCTAGAAGCATCTATATGCTTCTAATCTTTCATACACACCACAAGTGCACGCCATGTTGTTGCCTTGTTCACGCCATGTCATCTGCCACATATGAAATCCTCCCCCACCTATGCTCGTGACACCCTCGTCGCGTCCTCTTGACAAAAAGTCTTGATCAAGTCCTTGTTCTTCGAAAGTGTGAACTCGTTCTCCCAACTCGCTTCACTCTCTAGAAGTTTGCGCCAATTGACCAAGTACTCCACGTAACTTGGATGAACGTCTCGACGAGGAATGACATGATGCGCCATGATCTCTATGACTTCATGGTCGTGTGTCTTGGTGACGAGTGTTGGTGCGCGATGTGACTCTGTCTGCTGCTCTTCCTCCTTGACTTCGTTGAAAGTCTTGAGTTGGCTCACATGAAAGACTAGATGGATCTCCAAGTGCGACGACATCTTCACCTTGTACGCCACCTTGCCAATCCTCTTCACGATGGGGAATGACCCTTCATTGCGGCGAAGCAGTCCCTTGTGCACGGTTTTGAGATTCTTGAAGCGATGACGGTAGAACTTCACCATCACCACGTCTCCCTCTTCAAACTCCAAGTGTCGTCTCTTCTTGTCCGCCCATTTCTTCATCTTCTTACTAGCTTGGGCTATGTAAGACTTGGCCATCTCCGTCTTCTTGTGCCAGCCTTTTGCAAACTTGTAAGCTTCCAGACTGTTGCCTCTATACCCCATTGCCACCGTCGTATGCTTCAACGGCTGTTGCCCCATCGCCAACTCGAATGGACTTGTGTTGGTTGTCTCATCGCGATACAAATTGTAGGAAAACTTAGCTGTATCCATCAACTTTACCCAATCTCGCTGATTAGCACCCACATAATGCCTTAAGTACACCTCCAACAAGGCGTTCACTCGCTTCGTCTGTCCGTCGCTTTGCGGATGAAATGTCGTCGAGAAGTTCAAGTAAGAGCCAATGATCTTAAACAACTCTCACCAAAATCGGCCCGTGAAGTGCACATCTCTATCGCTTACGATGTTGTTAGGAATGCCCCAATACTTGACCACGTTCTTGAAGAATAGTCGTGTCGCATCCTTTGTCGTCATGTCTTTTGTCCCAGGGATGAACAATCCATACTTCGAGAACATGTCCACCACAACCATGATGCAACCACATCCGTCGAATTTTGGAAGTTCGACGATAAAGTCCATACTTACACTCTCCCATGGTCGGTGAGTCGTGGGCAAAGGCTCTAGCAAGCCTGTCGGATTTCTCTGCTCCGTCTTGTCTTGTCGGCACACAAGACAAGTCTTCACATACATCTCCATATCGTCTCTCATACGGGGCCAAAAGTATGCTTTTTCGATGAGCCATTGCGTCCTCTCGATGCCGGGATGACCAACCCACTTGGAATCATGGCACTCCTTTATGATCTCTTTCTCAAATTGGCACATCTTGGCACGAATATGCGCTCCCCCTTGGTCATGATGAGCCCATCCTTCATCCAAAATCGTCGAGTCTTGCCTTGCTCGATGTAATCCACCACAGTTTTGGTGAAGAGGTCATGGCCAAGGCTTTCAACAATTTGCTCCTTCAAAGGAAACACGGGAGGGCTGATGCTTGCGAATGCACACTTGTGGCTAACAACATCTGCAACGAAGTTCCACTTGCCTGGATTGTACTCACATCACGAATTCGAACTCGGCTAGAAAGTCTTGCCACCTTGCTTGCTCGGGGGTGAGCTTCTTCTGTGTAAGGAAGTAGCTCATCGCCACGTTGTCCATCTTCACTACAAACTTCAATCCCAATAAGTAGTGCCTCCATGCGCGCAAGCAATGCACCACGTGAAACAACCCAATCCTTTTCAACAAATTGAAATCCGCATGGCTCCGGAGCCGATTTAAAACCAACTCAAAATTCCAATAAAACATATACAACTGAATCATTTCCCAAAGAAATTCAAATGAAATGCCCTATATACACTTGGGCGACCTCAATCCATAATCCATAAAAACAACATAAATTATGAACCTTGAACCTCCAATTTATACTCATAATCATGAACAAGAATAACTAAACAAATTCTAACTCTAAATCCTCTCCGAGCTCCCTGAGATCTAGTCAATACTGATGAGTTTACTCGCCTCATCCTGCCTCTTCTCGATGTTCACATCCGCTAACCCTTCCTCAACCCGGTGAGTGAGAAATGGTAAGTATCGTCGTTACTACCTAAGGTCTTTGCCCTAATCAAAACCTTACTAACACATTATTAGAAATAGGATTGGGATTCGGTTTGTCGGTTTGAGGTTTAAATCGATAACCGGCGAAAATGGTTATCGGAGGGATCTGTATGCGCATCGGTATACCGGAATCCTCCTGGTAAAATACCGACGGTAGCCTGGTTATCCGATACCGGAACTGAATATGCGTGCCCCCAACCTTTAATTAATAATTAAACTAATTTAGTACTAAATTATCATGCTCTCACGGCCTCACCCTAACTAGTCTGGCCGCCAGATAGAAATCCCTCTCTGTTTTCTCTCCGTCGCCGGCGAACATCCACCCACGAGCACGATGCAGCAACCCAGCAGCACCACATCGGCCCATCCTCTCTGTCGTCCCCAATGTCGCGTCCTCTCCCGTCAACACCATCTCTTAGATCCGGGTCACCGTCGGAACCCGTCGTCATCGACCCCAGCGTATTCGAGTCTCGACCCTCGTCTCCGTCGGAGCTTCACCGCTCGATCCAACAACCCAAAACTTCATCCGCCGCCGATTCCAGGTATGAGTGAAGTTTGATTTGTTTGTGTCGGCCAATTTCAATACTTTATAGTTTATGGGGTTGATTTTTATTTGTTATAGAATTTTGTCCGGTGTATTTGTGTTAAAGGGGAGGAGTCCGAGCAGAGGAGCAGAGCAACAGAAGAAAGAGGACAAGTCGTTATTCACTTATCGATAATAAAAAAATTCGTTATTCACTTATTCTTAATATGCAATAAGCAAAAAAGGGAGAAGGTCGACTTCCTGCTGCACTCTCCACTAACTTTTTGCCTTTTGCTTTTGTTACTTTAGAGTATAGAAGAAAATGACAAAATGTAAGCTAGTCCTTTTATAGTTTTACTGTAATTTATGTTTTACATGTTAAGCTATAATTGAATAATGGAGCAGAAAGCAAGGATGCTTTCTAAGTTTCACCAATCAGCAATCACCAGTTCACCACCAAGGCACCAGCCAAATGGAAAAGCAAAATAGCAATTTAGCAAACTATCTATCCCTAGTCGGGGAGTCCCCACCCTTTATCCGGCTCATACTGTAACCGTGTCCATTCGGTAACCGGTGTACCGAAGCAATTTCGATATCGATAAACGACAACCGTGCGATGCTTCCGGACATACCGATAACCGCTCAAATGGTAACCGGTTCAACCGGTTATCGACCGTTTACCAGCCCTAATTAGAAATTACTTCCTCCATCAAAGTTGTTCTCGCTTTCATCCTTAATACTTTAGTCCTTAATAGCTTATAGAAGTTCTCTACTTCTATAAGCTATTTAGGCATAATTCCACCAACACTATTTAATTCCTCATCTTATAGCTTCCTATTTTTTTTTCTTTGCTTACGGCAATTCCAGATTAATTACCCTGATCAAAACTCAAAAGTCATCCACCTCCCTCGCATCACCCAATCGTCCTACCAAATGCAAATTAACTAACCATTCCATCTACTGAAACCCTATACCCCCGTAATGGGCCAACCAAATGGTCTTTTTGATAAAAGTTAATTCCTCACCATTTAGTTATGAGTTGCAGAGCTAGCAAATGAATTTTCGATCATAACATAATGCTCCCTCTTGTTTGACGATGAAGGCTCTCTTTTTTGGCTTGCGGCTGCTTCTCCTGATCAATCGGGAGTCGAATCATCTAATTCTTTTCATCAGGTGATGGTGACAACAAGGAGATAGTGATGGTGTTTGGTTTACTTGCGGTGAGATGGAGAGGGATTGACCATGGCTCCGTATACCCAATTGGGATTTATCAGATTGGGGAAAAGAGATGGAAACCGAGAGGGTGAGGGGGTAGCAGTGGGCTTTGATTAGAATTCATTCTAGGATTAATTGAGATTAATTTTTGAGATTTAATTATCTCAAACAATTGAAGGGCTTCTGAGAATTCTAGAATATATTGGGTATCGGATGTGTTTGATCCGAAACTTAGTTAAATTCGTAGCTTTCTCATTTCATGTCAAAACTCGACACAATTTGAACCTAGAAAAAGAGAGAGGGAAGAAGTGACACTATTTCAGAAAACATTGATCTTCTTGAAAGAGACTTCTCGAAGTTGACACTAAGAAAGAGCAAATATTGGAGAAATAAGCAAAACATGCTTCTAAGGTATAATTCTGATGATCCCAACTCTATAACCAACTATTCATCCAACGCAAGTAAGATTAGAGGAGAAGATGGAAGTGGAGGAGATTACGGGAATTACTATTCTCTTATGGGCGATTATTGACATCTTATGTGTTTCATCTTTATCATTTCAAGTGTTGTGTGTAATCTTTAAACTTTATCATTTTCAAGTGTTGTGTGTAATCTTTAAACTTTATTATTATCAAGTGTTGTGTGTAGCCTCTGAGTTATATCATTTGAACTATTATGTAAATTCCTTCAGCTTTATCATTTTCAAGTATTCTGTGTAAACCCAAATTAGGTCAATTAATTTTTTTCAAAAAAATTTGGTCTCAAAATTTAAAAAATCGAAAAATTTGTCTTTAAAAATGATGACAAACGTTGAATGAAATCGATTCTTTTTTAGATATCAAAACAGAAATCAGATATGATAGATCTATCTTTCTACTCATATATTTAACTAAAAAAAAGGATTTTTATAGTTAAGTAGCGTAGCAAGAAGCCCCAAATCTTTGATTTAACGAGGAAGGTAGCATTGAAGACTAGAATTAGAAATGGCCTAACAAATAACAAGCTGTATTACTAGCAAATAGCAATACACTACCCCACCAAACAGCTTTCACTAATACGACTTTCTAAAGGTCATTTCCGTACAATGAACCGTAAATGAGGTTCTTCAAAATCCATGACTTTGTACCATCTCCAGGTCCAGGGCAGGCGATTATCCTTCTAATTTGCCAACCGTCGAAGGAATGCCTGCCAACATTCTCAAGCCCTCCCAAGTCTTGAAACCATTCTGGGCTTCTCCATCACTAAAGTAATCTCTTCGACGCTGCAAGCGCAGGACATTATATTTTATCTAATGACGAGGGGAAGAACCGTTTTAAATCGGTAGGATACTTACTGATTCCTTCAGTTACTTGAAGAAATCATTCCCATTGATCCCATATCATAACCAGCTTATAATTTGTATCCCTTAGAACCAGTTTGACACGCTGAAGTCGCGTAGCTTGCTGAGGTGTCTCTCCATATCTTGTCTAGTCTTACTCCATTCCTCCCTCTCGATTATGGTGGTAGGATCGTCTCTTTGAGCCTGCAATCCATGAAACGCATTACCATTGATCAAACAATGAAGGAAACAAATTCAACCGGAGATGGTAGGACATGGGAGTAGTGTTACCGAGTCAATTATTTTGAAGGAATTCCCATTATCTCGTATAACAAGCAAGTCGTTCTTTCTATCCCTGCTTCTCCCGCCCGGAACAGTCACCTATAGCAACACACGCATGATTACAGCAACAGATTACATGAACACACAAGGGTTCAAAGCAGAAGCAGATATAGATTACGGTTGTTTAGATTTACAGTAGTATTAAAGGATAGAAGCAAGGAATCTTCCATCTATATTATTAATGCTCAAGCCATTAAAACAAAACAAATCGAGAGATGCAACGTTTTATCAGAACAGTGAAGTAAAACTCACACTAAAATTCATAAATAAAAGCTCACACTCCAAAAGAGAAAATTCCAACTTCCCAGTAATTAGAATGCAATTAAACTTTCTGCTTGAACTTAGGCAACAGGTTTTCATTCCATCATGATATGCAAGGTATTAAGATAAAGCAATAAGTCGCCTCTCCTTTCTTGAGATATCGGAAGGCTACAACAAGTGTAGAACTACTTAAGGAAGAACACTAAATCAAAATGCGCAAACGACTATCCTACCACCTAACTCGTGTATTTAAAAATTAACATTGCATATGACATAAGATGTGATTGCCTAGTAAAGGTGCTCTCTTAAGTGAAATTATTCAGACCTACATTTCTAAAACTAAAAGAAACAGGGATCAATTTGTTTCACTTCATATCCGAGGGGAGTAGGCTTCAACCAGAAGTTAAAAATAATTGTCAACGTCTTATTTCCTTCGTAGTGCTAATCCAGAAAGTGCCCATATGATTTTCCCACTTGTAAGAAATCAATTAGGCAAACTGTAGAAGTGTCAATATGGGGAAGCATAGAAATAGAGTCAAGACAACCAGACTAAACTAAAATAACTCACCACTACTTTTGCTCTGGTTATGGATTTTGTTTTGGAATCTATAACGTAAACTTCCTCGAAGTCCAAAATAAACTCGGGATCTCCCTGCCTTCGGTTCCTGTAGTGCTTTGTCAAGAAAACCTTTAATGAAGAAAGCAAGAAACTCGAATCAGTAGCATGGGGCAAGAAACACATTGTTTGCAAAATGCAAGAAGCATATCCATGGAAATCAGAACTTACCTTCCATACCTCCCTATCGGATTTATACAATGGATCTCGGGGTGCGTCAATGGGTGGTTCTGTCACGTTGTAACATCCATAGTTACTCTTTGCACATCGAATATACTGTAAGTTTTAACCAGAAGACATGACATCATCATCAGTGCGAAATAGCAACAACATTAGTTCATCAACCTCAAATTCAGACACCATTAGTGAAACAGAAAATCAGATCAGTTCATCAAACCCAAACTCATTATCTCACAGTACCCTACATCAATTGGTAATAACATGTAATTTATTTGTACACAAAGCTCGTGTCAACGCAAGCTTAACGACGAGCTTGATGGCTCAACAATCCATATCAGGAACTCATAAATGAGTCACACCAAGAGATCAGACTACAATATGAAAGAGCTGGCAGCAGACAGTAGCAAGCATTTCAGTAGTAACAAAAAGAAACCATCTCTCCGAACCAACCTACACATCACAAACAGTAACATTTCTGGCCAGTTAACTTTACCTTCTGTGGCATTGGACAAAGAACTCTGGGGATAGCATAAACATCAGTATCCGGCGGAGTAACATACATCTGCAAGAACAAACCACCAGTATAGCCCAAAATATGAAAAATAAATTAGGAAACTAACCAATCATACAAATGAGGGAAGCCCTACTAAGAACTAACCTCCCTGAAATCAAACACATCATTATCAGGGTCCGGCGGCTTCCTGATAAAGAAATCACAGTCATACAAGCTTATCTTGTGGAACTCCTCTTCATCAATTCTGTAATCAACGATCTTCTCCGAATGCCACCCCTGAGTAGACACGAAATTCTTGCTGGCAACCATCGCAATGTCGTCTCCATCGCCAGCCAAAGGATCATACTCCACATCATAATCCTTCTTGTTGTCCACTTCCTCCACCTCTTCGTCGTCCATGTCGTAATCGTCGGCACCGCCTCCATCGGCGTCGCCGTCGTCCGCCTTGGGCACGAACGGTCTCCGGTTTCTAGAAGGCAAATGGAAGTTCCAGCGGTGGTGCTCGAATTGGGAGGAAGGCAAAACTGCGATGCTGGAATTTCGGGCCGCGTACCTGGCTAGGGAGGGTCTTGGTGGTGGTGGAGTGAAGAGGTTGAAAGTGGTGACGGCTGCGGCAGCCATGAGAGAATGTTTTGTTTGGTGAAAGTGAAAACGAAGGGGAGAGGAAGCGGAAGTCCGCGACTGAGCTCTTTGTAAATTGTAATTGTTCTAGCGCACTACTTCCATTTCCGCTCAAGCAGCTTTCGTTGAAGAGCTCTCCACCGCCGCTGCTCGTCGGCGGCTAGGATGGTTATGGAGAGAAGAGATAGCGCAGTTAGTTGAATGGAAACTGGGAAGATGAACAAGATATTGGAAATGGGCCGCGGATAAATAGCATCCCGTTTCGGCTGAGCTCTCGGGTCGGGTCAAAAAGAAGGGGAAGATCCGCTCCAGATTGGTAAACCCGCCCTTTTCCCCCTTTTCCCTCGCTCAAAAAAAATTCTCGCGAAGGAAAATGCGAGAAAATTAAAATAGAAAATATTTTCTCGTTTATTTCCAGTTAAACCCTCCGGAAGAACCGTTTCCGAGTCCCGCCCGCCTGCCCAGCGCTTCAGCTTTCTTCTTCTTTCTTGCTTCCGTCTCTCGGGAAAGAATTTCTTTCCCTTTCTTTCTACCCACTGACACTGTCTTCTCCTTCCTTCTCTTCTCTTCAGCTTGACTCTTGTCTCTAGGGTTTGTTCTTTACTGTCTCAGTTCTCGCCGCCTTCCCTCTCTCTCCTCTATGGTTTGCCAATTTTAGATTCTTCCAATTGCTTCAATTCTGTACCCTAGAGTTCGGGAGCCTCCAAATCTTAGTGCTCCGAGATGGAGGAAAGGAGCAGCGGCGCCGGCGGAGGAGGAGAGGAATCGTCTTCTTCCAGGACCACTCCTTCGTACGTGAAATTGGGGGACAGGCAGATTTTCACGGTGGAGCTCCGGCAGGGAGAGACGACATTCGTCTCGTGGAAGAAGCTGATGAAAGATGCCAACAAGAATTGCAGTGGATCTGCGCCAGTTCCGGACCCGCCTCCTCCGGCCAACGTCCACCCGAACCTGGAGTCTCGTATTGCGCCGGTGAGTGCCTCATCATTGAAAGAGAGCATTATACGGTTTTTGGTGTTTTGCTCACCATGGACGTTTGTATATCTGTTACTTGTCTCTAATGTGTGGATTATTCGGGTGCCGTGGTGCCTGAGTAGCTGTGATCATAGCTATTAGCTTGGTTCATTTGCTTCAGCAATGTTGGGCTAGGTAGAAACATGAATGGTCAAAGAACTCACTAATCTTGCTTTCCTGAGCAAGTTTCTTATATTATCATTGTTGTGCGTGTATAGTGAATGGCCATACGCGGTTAAGTTTTATTTCTAGGAGGATAATTGACCTCCTCCACTGTTCTGGGTTTGTTTTATACGGTGGGAATATCTGATGTGAAACAGAAAAGTTGTTAGAAATCCATCTTATTGATTAGTTTCTTAGTACATCATGATTAACATATTGCTGAATTCTTAGTGGTGCTTTTCCTTTGCCAGGGACAACGGGCAGATAATGAAGAAAATGATGATCCTCATCCTCATCGTTTCAGTGCTGTTATTGAGAAGATTGAACGCCTTTACATGGTAATATGCTGTCCCAGGTTTTACATAACAATGCAATTAAAATTATAAATGGTGATCCATAGTTGATGTGATCTGTTTCAGGGGAAGGATAGCAGTGATGATGAGGATTTGAAAGATGCCCCCGATGATGATCAGTATGATACAGAAGACTCTTTTATCGATGATGCTGAACTGGTTGGTATCTGTTCTGTTAAATTTCTTCAATGATATTTACAAAGTTGCTTTATGTTGCCAATAACAATTACTTTCCTCTGCAGGATGAATATTTTGAAGTTGATAATTCCGCAATAAAGCACGATGGATTCTTTGTCAACAGGGGAAAACTTGAGCGCATGTAGGTTTATCTCAAACCTGCTGTTTTTGTTTTTGTCTTTGTCATTTCTCAAGAATCTGTTGCTTGCCATGTATCCCCTTAGGGCTGTTGTACTATCCCCTATACATGCTTACTGTAGGGCTGGGGTTTATCTTGTGACAAATCTCTTAGGTACTTGCTTGAACTTAATGATTCCTTCACATGCTATTCAAGCAAAGTTAGGCTGTATGTGGCTAGCATCTTGAGTTTTTTGTGCATCAAAAGAGCGCAGAAGCAAATGTGAGATATTCAATGTTGTTCTAATGATGAGTGGTTAAGATTTTCAAGTTTGTAGAGTGATTGTAAAATTTAACTGGAGTTGATGTGCTAAAATCACCCTGAAACTTCTGTGCTTCTTGCCCATTACCCTTCATCACTTTCTTCTCTCCCATTTCAACAAGAAAATCTTATCAGTGTTCTGTAGTGCCTCATTGATGGTTTAATTAATTGGATCTATCAGTTCACCTAATAGAGCTGGCATCCCTGATTCATCAGTAATCCCAGGAGCAGTTATTACATCACATTAGATGATTGTGATTCATGTGTTGATTGTAAGAGAAGCAAGATTCTTCAGTCTCAATGTTTTTGTTGTGACCTCATTGCTGTAGTAATTATTTTTACTTTCTCATGTTTCAGAAGTGAGCCTGCTGCTGTTCCTAACCAGCAACCAAGGAAAAGGAGGAGAAAAGATTTAAATAAGGCTCCTTCTGACAGTGCTGATGTTAATGTACCTAATAAACATGCTAAGATAGGAAAATCAGCAGTTGGAAAGACAGTGCAATCACTTGGAAAGAACTCCTCTAGCCCCTCTCTGGATTTGGTTAGATCAGGGGGATACAAAGAAGATGTGAAGCCTCATGATCTATCTGGAACTTCTTCCAACAAGAAATATGATGAGTCTAAACTATGCTTGGATCCATCTTCAACTTCAATCACAAAGACGTCAAATGGTGAGACTTCAGCATCAATGTTAGAAGGGAAGGATGTTCAGATGCAGAAGCCTGGAGGTCTCCAAGCAAAGAACCTTGCAAATAAGTCAAAAGATGCTAGTGGATCTTTTGTTGCTTCACACCTCAAACATCAGATTCCGGATAAAAATGCTTATGGACAAAATAAGTTGCAATCTGTAAAGCCTTTTAATAATGTTGAAGAACCTGAATCATCCGTTCGATCAAAAGAAAGAAATGGTGTCAGAATACTGCCTGACCTTAATAGTGCTCCTGATGGAAAGATGCATGTGCATGCAACAGTAAGTGTACGGATTTTACAATCTGGTGCTCTGTTATTTAAATAATTTGCATATCCCATCTGCATTAAATGACTTAGTCCTACTGGCAGTAGCTTTGTCTTTTGTTTTCATGACAAATGCTGATATATGTGTGGTACCTTGTGCTCGATTACTCTGGGATTCCCGTTGAAAGTTATGGTTATAATTTTTTGTCTGGTCCTTTTTCAACTTGTGTTGCTCATGATAGCAGACATCAACTGTCCACAAAAGAGATGGTTCCACCGTCCGGTCTAAAGGCTCAATTCTAGAAAAGGCCATCAGGGAGCTGGAAAGAATGGTTGCAGAATGTAAGCTGAGAAGTTGCTTTCCACTATGTAAAACTGGACCTTCTACTGGTTGAGGCTAAGGTGTTCTACGTTTTATGACTATTGCAGCAAGGCCACCTGCAATTGACAATCAAGATGGTGATGCTTCGTCCCAAGCAATTAAAAGAAGATTGCCTAGAGAAATAAAGCTGAAGCTAGCCAAAGTTGCCCGACTCGCGGTATCACCTTGAACTAGTTATTGCTATTTCTATTGATAATCAGGTCTTCTGGTAAAGTTATCTTGCAATTTCAAAGTTTATATGTAAGGGTTAAAGAAGAACAATGTTTAAGTGTCTTCAATAGCTTAATGTTTAAACAAGTATTGAAGCTGATGTTATACTTCTTACTTTTCATGGTTACTTCAGGCAAGCCAAGGGAAAATGTCAAAGGATTTAATAAATCGCCTCATGAGTATCCTGGGTCACTTAATACAGCTCCGGACTCTGAAGGTATCTGTTGGAATTCTTATCAACACCTCCAGTTCTGGTTCTTTTGTGTACCTCTCAAGCCTACTTCCTGTATGCCCACAACAATGACATTTGGGGGTGGGGGTGTTGAGCCTGTGATGGTTGAGCGTACTGTGGCTCATTTAAGTCGTATTGGTCACTAACTGTCAATTGTAGACAGTAATAGGTCACAATTCTTAACATATAGAATTTAATCTAGATTAGTCAATGATGCGTTGACTATGAAACCTGGTATTATCTTTCCCAATTTTGGCCGCATTCTACTTCATAGCTTATGTACATATGCTGTTTTTTCTTCTTCACCTTGGAGAAACCATTAATAACACAACCTGGTGTTTCATGCAGAGAAACTTAAAAATCATGGTAAACTCAGGGTTGTCAGCAAAGCAAGAGAAAGATGATAAGTTTCAAGTGATAAAAAAGGAAGTTGCTGAGATGATCAAGACTCGTGTCCCAGCATTGGAGTCCAAGGTATGAACTCCAGACTCCCCCTTTCTCACCAGCCATACATTTGCTTTCATCATTTCTTCACAGAATGTTGCGGTAAGAATTGAGAATTTATTCAAAGAACTGAAGTAGAAACTCCTTGTGCTACTTTCTTCACCTTCCTTTTTTGTTCATCTTTTTTCTTTCCCCTCTTAAGTTTTGCATGGTGGGTTAGATGAGGAATATCTTGCTAGCCATGGTGCTGTTTCCATTCTCATCACCTGCATGATAAAATTACCTGCACCGTTGGCCAATGGATGATAAGATTTTACATGTAGCTCTATGGGTAAATTTGAGTTAAGTTTCACAATCTTTATTATCAGGCTATGGAGCAACAAGCTGGAGCATCTGATGATTTTCAAGATCTTAATTCAGAAAACAAAGGAGTTGTGAAACGGAAATTCAGCATGGATGCTGCGTTGGAGGACAAAGTTTGTGATCTCTATGACCTTTTTGTTGATGTACGGATAACTTCTAACGATTTCCTTCGGCTGGTTTTCAAAAGCTTCCTCTTTTTTCCCATGTTGTGTGGTCCACTAACTCTTCGATGATTCTAGGGACTGGATGAAGATGCAGGTCCACATGTCAGAAAGTTGTACATGGAGGTTGTTCATCTACCGTTATTTTCTTGTTTCATTTTATGCACTTGACTTCAGTATTTTCTTGAGTGGACCTTGCATTTGTTTTCAGTCTCTATCGTTCACCTTCTTTCCTTGTGAAATATACTTTTTGAATTTCTGTAATTTTGTGTGCCTGTGGGTCCTTTCTGTTTATGGGTTACCGATCCAAATATTTGCTCATTTGGTCCTCTGGGCTTGTCATCTATGTTTCAGCTCGTAGGGCTGTGGCCAAGTGGTTCCATGGACAATCATGGCATTAAAAGAGCAATATGTCGGGCAAAAGATAGACGAAGGGCCATTTACAGCCGAAACAAGGTAGTATTGTCTCTTCACATTTTCATGATTCTTGTTCTTAAGGTGACAAACAAGTATTAAGTGATTCTGGTTTACTGTTGCTTAGTACTTTTTGTTGAAATCTTTTGTAGGAAGAGGAGAAAATCAGAGGGAAACAGTTAATGCCAGCTAGACTGGAGGAAGCTGTCCGACCTGGTCCGAGTACAGCTTCCCAGACGCAGATGCAGCAGCACGCGCGTGAGAGATCGACTAGCGATACAGGTAGTGGACCTGTGTTGGCTTTGGCTAGCAAGCCGATGTCCGGTCTGTCAGCGATCACTCAGGGAACCAGTAGCAGTGTCTTGGCAAGTGCCCATAATCCGGAGAGGCCAAAGCAGGACAGGGCGAAAGGAAGTGTTTCCATGGAAGAAACGAAAGCGGTATTTGCTTCTGGTGAGGGAGTTCCGTTGAAGAAAAAGGTGAAGAGAAAGCCAGAAGCTGAACTGGATCAAACCCACCTCCGGCCAGAGAAGACTTATCTGCAGTCGAGCGATGAAAGACACAAGTCGGTTAAGGCTGCTCCAGTGGTTTCCCAGAAGCTAAGCCTTCAATCTGCTGTCCTGCCGCCGCCTCACAGTTTCGAACAATAACAGATCCAAGTACAGTTCAATGAGACGTAGCAAAAGGAATCACAGCCATCATTGTAACAGTGCTCCTTTCTTCTTTTATTTTTGATAGGGCAAAAGCGTAATGCTTAAATTCCTATCTCGTAGTAAACCGGAAAGTCCGGGTATCGTCTCTCAGGGACTGGTACAACCTTATATTCTATCAAATTTATGAGCAAACTATAAGTGAACAGAATTTAAAGTGACTAATTTCTAAAAGCAAAATAAACTAAACGAATTAAGCAAATTAAAACTTGTCGGGAGAAATTCAATGGGAGAAAGCTCTGGGAGAAACACCGGGATTCACTACCTATCCTATCCAGATTAATTCACATATTCCAATCAATTTAATCCATACCTCTACAGCCAGGATATCACTACTGTGCTAGCTATCCCTGTCGGGAATTACTACGTACTAAATAATCAATTCAAATCCTACTGTCGTAGCTCAATGAATTAACTATATAGCCTGAAGATCGATATCCTATTTAAGACCGCATAGCACCTTATTTAATCCACTGTCGCTTCGATAAGTTACTATGTCACATGAAACAGGTTCAGTTAATAGGGTTTCACTGTCGCTAATAACCTAATTAACTACAAATCGTTGTATTGGTGGCCAGTCAACACAAGGCATTAAGCAATTTCATGCAATAGAGATTGGAAGAAAAGAATCATAAATCAATCCATCAAATCAAGAAATAGCTACATCCTATGGTGTTTCCCCCAGAAATTGGGGTTTAGTTCATGACGAAATTAAGATAAATCGATAGGGTTTTGTTCATCATGTTACGAAGCAAAGCAAAAGAAAAACAAATACTGAAATTTTCTTCCCTGCCCTGCACTCGATCGCTCGTGCAAGCTGCTTCTCCGCTGCGCCTGCTCCCTGTCGCCTTCGCTTTCTTCTTTTTCCCCCCAGCCGCTGCGCGCTGCTGTCTTTTTTTTTTTTTTCTCCTCAAATTTCCGCCACCAGAGACCTTCCTTCCTTCTGCTTCTCTTTTTTTCTTCTTCTTTTCCATAATAAAAATCAGCCGCCTTTTGCTTTCTTTTCCCAAAAGAAATCTCCCCCCTTTGTTCCGCCGCCCAGCAAGGAGATAAAACATAAAATGGGCTTTGGCCCATTCCAATTCTTTGGCCTCCAGCTCTAGTTCCCGTCCCACGTTCCGTCCAATTCCTCTGCGCCTTAGCCCAAGTGAGTAGTCCATAAGTAATTCGAGCCCGATTTATTGCTTGTGCACTCGCTCCTCTTTCGTGTCTTCTCCACCTGTATCATATCAAACTCATGGCACTAGGCAGTAATGGTTTTTCAACCATTCTCGGGTTAGCGAGCCCTAAAATAGTACCAATTGGCTAAAACATACCACAGATAATCACATAAAGTCCAAGAATCCGATATATTAAAGCCGAATATCACAACCCCACACTCAATTGTTGCTTGTCCCTAAGCAACGACTCAAACAACACAAACACATAATCATCCAAAACAATGACACATTACAGACTCAACATTCAAAGCAAAACACAAAATTTCCTTGTACTCTTGTTGTAATCAGTAGTTTCTTTCTCAACGGACGAGTTGTGCTTTATTGATCATACCCTTTCACCCCACACTCAAGTTCTTTGCAACCCTTACCATTGACTGACTCGAATCCATCAAAAACTCAATAGCAACACTCAATTTCGATCGTCGGTAGCGGGTGGTTAACAACTTATGGTGCAACAGTTATTAGGAGAATCTAACCACATCAGTGAGGTACATATCTCGTGAGGACAATCTGGCTTACTCACACCAATCATAAGCAATTAATTATGCATGAGTCTAAAAAACTAATGGGGGAAGCCTTTCGCAAACATGATTTTAACTTTAAGCACATCACTACCTTTTATGACAAGGAGAGGCTTTCTCTCTTTCTGCTTTTGCTTGCCGAGAAGTCGTATTTAGTACAAGTGGGATTTGTTTCTTACTACCGGTGACCGAGCAAGAGCAATTTCTGCTTCTTAGCACTCGCATAAGGGCTTCTTTTAACTCCTTATCCTCGGTCCGTGTGGAGGGTCATTGCTCCTCAAATGGCACTTCACTCAACTGGGGATCGTACTTGATAAGCAACATCGTACGGTCGCGAACCGATTCTCAATTGAATCTTTCCTCATCCCCATGTGCAATGAGTGATTGCCTCACACGATTTTGGCATTTTTACCCACAGTTTAATTGTTATGGCAACTTTCTTATATTTTACTTGTCAGGTAGTGTTTTCTTTTATGAAGATACAGTTCACCCCATCATAAAACATTCAAAACAGAGAGACTCGTTACCAAATCAAAAGCTCACAATTGATGCAAGTAAGCACGGTATCTACACATATCGAATGGTCAATGTTCTCCACCTAACTACTTCACCAAAAGTCGTTACACTATCCTCACAAAAGAGAATGTTGCTAAAAGAGTTGCTCATTCAAAGCATATCAAGTCAGTCAAAACATTCAAGTTCATTGTGAAGAACTATACAATTCAACACTAGTGGGGTGATTTTGATGATTTCATTCAAGCACAAACTCATTTTCAAGGCATCACGGTCATTTACATCATGTTACCACAAGAGTACAAGGTTTTGTTTTAAATTTTTCTGATTTTTAGGTGTTTTTTAGCCATTAGCTTTGCACAGGCAGCATGCTTTTTACACAGGCAGACTGCTTTTTACACAGGCAAACTGCATGCAGTTTGGCTGTGCATAGCCAAATGACAGATTTTTTTGTTTTTTTGTTTTTGTTTTTTATGATTTTTTTGTTTTTTTTTATTTTTTTTTTTACCGACCACATGACAAAAGGAACAAACAATTTTTTTTATTTTATTTTTTATTTTTTTTTTTTGATTTTTTTTTTTTTTTTTTTACTGACCACATGACAAAAGGAACAAACAAACACTAAGACTCGCCACCCCACACTCAGGATGGAACATTGTCCCTAATGTTCAACTCCTAATCTAAACATGCACGGGTTTGACACAACTAAAAATAAAAATAAAGAAAAGAAAACTTACCTTGGGTTGCCTCCCAAGAAGCGCTTGTTTAACGTCCTCAGCCTGACGTTTATGGAGCTTTCAACCAATGGGTATGGAAAGGTATCCAGCATACCCTCCCGAGCAATGATAGAATGCATAACCTCCATCCAGCATATGAGTCACCTCTGCAGGGCCAGGTGTGCGAAAATTGGGTATGACCTTCTTAGCTGGCATGTTAGACCCTCTAGTGAGGCGTAGGTGGTACTGCAGCGCCTCAAGCAGGTACTCTTCCTGTTTCAATGTCAGTGAAGAAGGAATAATAACAGGAAGATTGAAATCCTTACCCAAATATCTATACTTGAGGTGACCTGGCAAGGATTTCTGCCCTTGCTTTGACTTCAGAATCTGAGCAGATAGGATAGGTGATAGTTCTTCGGATGGTCCACTATCACAGGAAGAGGGATTTTTCCTTTCTCGAGCTTCACTTTCAAATTCATCATGATTATGGTCAACTTGAAAGACATTAAAAATTTCCTCCTCCTTACCTACTCGGAATGTCAACTTGCCTCTCCCAACATCGATGAGTGCATCACCGGTTGCTAGAAAAGGTCTGCCGAGGATTAAAGGCACTCCCCGATCTTCTTCCATCTCCAAAATGACAAAATCTGTTGGGAGAATAAACTTTCCCACCTTCACCAATACATTCTCCACCACTCCCTTTGGAATTTTTACTGATCGATCAGCCAATTGGAGTGTGATCCGAGTAGGCTTAAGAACATCTCCCAATCCCAATTTCTTGTAGACTGAGTATGGCATCAAATTAATTCCTGCTCCAAGATCACAAAGTGATTTATCGAATTCTGTACCTCCAATGACACATGGAATGGTGAAGCTGCCCGGATCATCCCTCTTTTCTGGTAATTTATTCTGAATCACAGCACTACATTCAGAAGTAAGGGTTACCTTCTCTAGATCAGCCCATTTCCGCTTCTTTGTCAGCAACTCCCTTAAGAATTTAGCATATGTAGGCATTTGTTCAAGTGCCTCCGCCAAGGGTATGTTAATCTGAAGTTGCTTGAAGATATTCACAAATTTCTTGAAGTTTGAGTCTTCCATGGGCTTCATTAACCTTTGAGGGAATGGCGCGGGAGGTTCATAAGGCTTTACCTCTTCATTCTTCAATTTTTCCACTTTTTGAGGTACACGGGCAGCATGCTTTTGCACAGGCAAACCGCTTTCATTTTGCCTGTGCAAGGCTGATTCTTCATTTTCTGCACAAGATCTTTCTTCCGGTGCTTCCTCTTCTGCCTCTGGTGCCTTTTTCGAGCTGCTAGGGTCTTCCAAGGCCTTTCCACTCCTCAATGTCACTGCTACAACCATGGCATCCTTCGGATTCCTCTCAGTATTTGCTGATAAAGTCCCAGGAATCCTGCCTTGCATATCTGCCAAAGTTTGAGCCATCTGTCCCATCTGCCTCTCCATAGCTAGCATAGAAGATTGTAAATTATTGTTGATGGCTAGCTGTTGAGTGACAAATTGATCCAGGCCCTTGAAATTATTGTCTGTTTTCTGCATATGAGCCAAAATCAACTCCTCCAGCTGGGGCTTCTTCTCTGGTTGAGGCTGCTGCTGTTGAGAACCAGGAGGTGGGATGTTTCGAACACCAGCTGGATTATTATTTGACCATGACATGTTGGGGTGATGTCTCCATTGAGGGTTGTATGTATTTGAATACATACCACCCTGGCCTTGACTTCGCGGATTATTGATGTATTGGACATCTTCCAGCTGAGCAGCTCTCAGTGGACAAATATCCCTGTGATGAGGACCCTCGCAAAGTTCACATGAAACAACCTCCTCTTGTCTACCCAGAGCAATCTTGGCCAACCTTCGTTCGAGTGCATCAAACTTGGAATCCAGTTTAGCATCTATCTTGGCTTCTAGACTCGCAACTCTGTTTATCTCATGCAAGCCTCCTCTCCTTCGAATGCCGGTCTCACTACCCCATTCAGTGGCTTCTGAACAGATCTTCTCTACCAAATCATATGCTGCTGGTGCCTCCATGTTTGTGAAGCCATTTCGAGAAGCATTATTCAGGGCATCCCGAAACTCCCTTCTGATTCCATTGAAGAAAATAATGATCACGTTCCAATCTTCAAGACCATGGCTTGGGCATCTCATCAACAGCCCCTTGTAACGCTCCCATGCCTCAGTCAGACTCTCATCATCAGCCTGCTTAAAAGTAA